AATACTTGTCACTCAAAAATAGTACCTAGAAATGCCATGAGTTTCCTATCACTTCACTTCTATTTAAGGAGATCTGCTGTATCAATATTCTTTGCGTACAAAATGCAGAGTAGCTTGGTGGCATTTTGACAGCAGTACAGAAGAAGTTTGTTGTTTCTTTTTTAAATGTACATGCCACATCTATGCTCCCGGTAGACATCGCTTGACACCTGCCTGTGTTTCTACAGTAGGATTAGTGTGGCTTTCCAGAGAGGACCACATATTCATATGCATGCACTGAGCTCTTGCTGTGAGATATCTACGGCATTCAGGGGTTCATGCTTGTGACACCTTAATACAGCCTTAAAAGGTTTTTGCTTGTGTCCTCCCCATTTTACAGATGAGGAAATAGTTATACGAACCCTGAATTTGCAAAGTGGAATTTGAACTGTCAGAATATGTGCAGACATTCCTGGATGGAAGCAAGAAAATAAAGTACCCTCTTCTACAACCCCTGGAATACACCTCACTGTATGTTTCCATACATTAAGAAGAAAACCCAAGGAAATGGGTCACTGAAAAGTATCCATAAAATCTTAATAAAGATTTCAATGATCAGATAAATAAGCCAAAACTAAAATCAAGACATTACAAATGTCAACAGAAGCAAAGGTGTGGTCTTAGAAAGAGGCCTGGGTGCTAATTTTAAGGAAAATAAACATATTTCAACTACTGCCCTCTCCTGGTGGCAGAACCTAGGGTATGTTTCCTTTCCTTAACTCAAAGGATTTCAGAAATTTTCATCTATCTGAGTTATCAAAACCAAAAATGCAGGTAAAGATTGTGTGTGGCTTCTCGGACAAGTCTTGGTTTGATGTTGGGGTCAAGTACTGTCCAGCCGGGGTAACCCCAAGAAACCATTCTGCATCTTGTGCCTCTATTTTCTCTTCAATAGAAAATAGAACTTACCTCAAAGGTCATTGTGAGCCCCAAACAATGTATGCAAATGTGCTTTTCACATACACTAAAATCTAAGTCTATCAGTTAAGTAAAGTCCTTTATAGCAGTACCTATTAAGGTTAAAATTTCATTTGTTCTTTAGTGCTGTAATCCCACTCTTGGAAACTATGCCACATCAATAATAGTGCTATAAGCAAGAACATGAACAAAGACGTTCATGATTTTGGTGTTGATAATGACTAAAAAACCAGGGCTATGTTAAATATCCACCAATAGTACAATGGTAGAACAGATTCTATCCAACTAGAACATACTATGCATCCATTAAAAAGAATTTTCCAGAACTCTGTCAGTTGAATGAAGAGATTTCAACATGGTTGTGGCTGTGTGTGTGTGCACATGTGTCTTTCGTAGGGGGTTTGGGGAAAGAAACTATGAATATTAGGTTAGTGCTTTACCACTGAGCCACATCCTCAGCCCTGAATGTTCTTTTGGGGAGGTCGAGGGTGGGAAGAAGAAAGATGTAAAAAAGAATATAACAGAGTCCTAAAAGGCTAGTGTATTTTTAAACTCTGGTAATTTCTGAAGTATAAACACCATTTACAAAAAATAATGTTTGAAAGGTTAGAAACATCTAAGATTCTAAAAATTCAATAGAAACTGTTGTACACAAAATTAAAAGCCAAATTTACCTTAAAATTCACGCAAGTATAAAAGAAATACAGATAACAAAATGCAAATGTTTCTTTTTCAAGTTTACAGCAAAGGAAAGAGTAAGCCAGGACCTCCCAAAGTGTAACACTTTTTCCAAAGTAAGGAATTAAAAGGCTGTATAATAATACTTGAGTAAAATCATTTATATTTTATAGATATATATAGTTACATGCTTAATTTCTTTAAAGAAAGGAAATAAACCTGCCTAAGTCCCCCACTAAGTAAATGTCAGAAGAACTAAGTCTCGCACCCAGGTCTCTCTGGCTGAGCTGAGCTCTGAGGCTCTTGGGGTCTACACAGCCGGCAGGGTGGTGGCGCAGTGGTCTAAAATGTCTCTGCATCCTGTCAGTGACATCCATACCAGTCCTGAGTCTGGCATCTCAGGATGGCACTCCAGACCCTCACTTGTTGCACATCCACCCATCGCCCTCCAAACTTCCCCATCCTCGACTGGAATGTGATAGTGCAGGGTGCACCAGAGACAGAGCTCAGCCAGAGGTCTTTGATTGGATGGTGAAGATAACCTCCGGTCCACAGACATAATTTTAATCAACACTCCTCTGAAAATCTCACTGATCTGCTCATCTCTGAATCAAACACACCTTATTTTCCCTCACTTTCTCAAGGAAATTAAAAATGGCAACATCTCACCAATCACCAAACATGCAAACTGCTTTCTTTCTCTATGCCTGTCACATACTGTTCCCTCTTTCTGGAATGCCTTACATTTTTTTTCTCTTATTGGGAAACTCCATATTCTTAAAGATGCAACTCAAACGCTGCCTTCTCTGTCAAGGTTTCCTTCCCTCTTCCAGCCAAAACTGTTTCCCTTGGTACAGGTTGACATGGTGAAGACAGATTTCCCCTAGCAGTATTGTGAGCCCTATCCGTGGCTTTGGGTATGGGTTTAGATGCTGATCTTCCCAATGGGCTCCTATGAGCACAGTGTCCTATCTACCTCCATAACAGTTCCTGGACTCACTGTGTCCTAGCAGTTGGTGCGGTGGCTGGCACATCACATGCCTTCCATTAAATGCTGGATTCATGGTACTATGAGTTTGGGAGTTAATTCACAAGGTAGATAGTAGGTCCAACACTCAGGCAAACCAACTTGCAATCTTAGATACATATAGCCAAGAACCCCTTGCTTTACATACCCTATGAGGAAAGAGGATACATCTTAGACAGCTGGTTCTTCATGTGTGCCTTTCTTTAGCTTAGCAACAGCAAGATAGTTCAGCAACAGCAAAAAGTTCTGGAAATCCTTTCCAAAGCTGTTTTTGGTTATAAAACCACATCTGGACTCATGATATGTATGTGTGTAGTGTGTATATACCAGATCAACCTTTGCTTCCTAAGTATGAGACTGTTTACAAAAAATAATAATGGCTGAAAGTTACACAACACTTCGGATGATTATCTGTGGTATACAGCAGATAGCAAATCAATCAGCTGGATTTATGCTTATTATTAGGCCAATTTTGCAAAAGGGAGTCATTTATTGATTTTGTATTGTGACTCCATGTTCATATCATAAATTGCTGACTGTATGTTCCTACTATAAGAAATACAATCTTTGAAATTCTAATGGATCTAATAACATACATGCCCCTTATTATCTAGCAGAGATTTAGTAAGGCAAAAGTTTTAACAAGAACTGATTATTCTTGTCAATAACTATGAAGAGTGTTTCAATTAAGAGAATGGGCTTAATTTGTTCCTAATGCCATCAAGGAAAGCATTTGGCAAATTCATTTCCATTATCCTTAGACCTCAACTGGAGATCCCTGAAATAGAGGGAACTGATGTTACTAGGGTAACTCATTCTAAACTGCCTTTTCCCACCCAACTCTGAGGTCCAGAGGCTGCTTCTCATCAAGGATATTTCATTGAGTTCCATTAGCTGTCAAGGTTTAATAAGCTGAGCTGGTTAAAGAGTGATGGCTGGGTTTCATTCCAAGACTTCATATCAGCCACAAAGAATTAGGCATGCACCTCATGGTCTCTCATAGGAATTTCAAAGTGCCCGCAAAGAGACTAAATTCAGACTGGCTTGAGGAACAAATTAACATCGCTTAACCGTGCGAGGTGGCAGGGGACACCTCTTCTTCATGTCTGTTAGACACGTGAGGAATAAATAGGACCAATGTATTTTCTGCCCACATAACTTATGTAGCCATTTCTCTTCTTGCCTTTTTAAAAGTATAAAGAACTCATATGCATGGTTTATAAGAAGTGCTCTGATAGGGGCTGGGGATTTAGCTCAGCGGCATAAGCACCTGCCTTGCAAGCAGGTGGTCGTGAGTTCGATCCCCGGTACCGATAAAAATGAAAAAGACAAAAAAAAAAAAAAAAAAAAAGTGCTCTGACCCACAGGCAAGGTATTTGTTGGCTGAAATAGCCAACAAAATAATATCATTTTTAGTAAATGCCAGTCAAGGAAGCTCTGATCAACTATTGCTTAGTGCAGAGGTTTGTTCACAGAATGAGTGCCATTTAACATCTCTCATCTAGGCTCTTCCCTCTTGGTATGCTCTTGCTGTGTATATTTTTTCTTTAGATTCCTGCAGAGAAGGAGTGTTGTTCGATGGAAGGGGGTAAAAATCTATGTTAGAGAAAAATGTGTAACAGGTGAATTTTGAGCCTCATTCTACATTCCTGGGCAGTCTTACCGCCCTGCCTAACTTCCCTCCATCCATCTGCTCCTTTACCTTCTGTCCCCCTTGCCCAGATTAAACATAGCATTCTGTTTTCCATTCTCAAGAAATGGAGGTGGCCTTAAGAAGACCAGGGTGCTCCTGGGGGAAGTGGAGGACCAGATGAAGTTTTGTTAAGGGGATGATATCCCAGAGTATGAAGTAACTCTTTTTAATACAAATGGTAATAAACTCCAGCCAGGGGGCACATCCATCTTCTAAACACTAAGAATGCTTTCTGTAACTCCTTGGAAGTTCCTCTAGACCCTACCCGCCACCATGGTGATGGAGAAAATGTCACCTTACGCTCAAAGGAGTATAAATTCAAGCAGCTGTTTATGGTATGGCCAGGGCAAACACAAGCCTGGTTATTTTCACAAGTGGCTTTTCTTAATGCTCATGCTGTTATGTCTCCTTTCATTTGTGTGCATGGATATTAACACTCAGAGAACTCACAAGTGTGTTAGCTCATGGTCAGTAGCACTACAGGGTGAGTTCTTTAGAGACTGAAGGAGTTAAGAGTACCTGATTAGCCAAAAGTCGGTGGTATGAATGGTATGTAGCTGGGCAGTTTTCCAAAGCCTATGCCTTGGCTGCGTATCAGGAAGACTGCTATAAACAAATGTGCATGTGTGCATGCAGCCTGATAAGTTAATGGGGGAAGACGGACCCAGAACAGCCACCAGGCCCGAGGAAACATGCAGAGCCGGGTGAGTTGCTACTTTAGGTGAACAATAGCTTTTTTTGAAACAGGTCTGCAGGGACTGGTGGACACTTAAAATGGTCCTTTGACTTTCTGTATATTACATGATTTTTAGGCAACTTGCAGCTGGATTCTCAACTTTTAAATTATCCTAATATTACAAAATCACTAAAATGCTGCTCCTAATTTTTAACATAAAAATGTACAATCAAGGATTTAGTTCAGTGACATAAGCACCTGCCTAGCAAGTGCAAGGTCATGAGTTTGATTCCTAGTACCAAAAACAAAACAAAATAAAAAATAAAAACCTGTATAAACACACAGTATGAGAAAAGCCCACAACAAAACCAAATATGTAGATCTTAATTATGTAACATACATACACACATTTAAAAAGATATAGTAATCATGTCAAGGAAAAAACAATAGTTTTCTCTGGGTGATGGAATTATTATATATGTGTGGTTTCTTATATTTCACTTTCAAGATTTTCTAAAATAAGCATGTGTTACTTTCACAGTCAAGAAAATAATGAAAATTTTTAAAACTTAAAAAATTATCAAGGAAATGACATCTGATAATAGGTTACCTGGGTTGAAAAGGTAGAAAAAGCAGACAAGATTAAAACAGAAGCACTCAGGTTAAAATGAATTTATCTTTATGTCTACAATCATGAGTATGTTTTATCTTACACTGTAAACTCCCACAGAGCAAGGGCTGTTTCTAATTCTGTGCAATGTTTGGGTCAATTAAAAATGCAGACAGAATGTTATCTTTCTGACAGTTACACAAATGTACCTGATTCTTGATCACTCTGGTAGTCAAGTCTGAAAACTCTTTGGTGCTTTTAAAATGCAAGACAGAACAAGAACACCTCCCCAAACCTGTTCCTACCTCACCCCCTGCTTTAAACACCAATGTAATAATGATCTATATTTTGTGGCAGCATGTAAATACATATAGAAGATTGATCTACCATATTTAAAGTAGAAAGGAAAACAATATAGTTAATTTTCTCTGTTGTTGCGCATTTCAGTGTTACAAAACAGATGTAAATTTAAGGATGAGTTACCAGTTTGATGTCCCTACTAATTAGGCTACTTATGACTGACTCAGCCCCTGCAATACAAAATGTAAGAAAGTTTCCATTTAAGAAACAAAACCTAAGTCAAACTCTTCCTACAACACTGGAGCCATAACCAGCGAAGCAGTTTTCATTTACAGCATATTCTAGACACCTTGAGGCTCCTCCAGTCATCTAAATAAAACCAACTTTACTGTAACTTTTGAGGTCACTCTCTGGATGTACTCTGAAATCTATGAAAAATGGCATATTTTTTAATGTAGTGGTTACAAGTTGAAATGAACAACTGTCAAGGTTGGGAGGTGCTATTCTTACTAGAAATTAAAGATACAATGTATCAAATTTGACTCAAATTAGTTTCTTTTCAAGGTTATGAAACAGACAGGCAAATGTGGAATCCCAGGTGTTTATTGTATTCACTGAACCAGAGCAGTTACTTTTTAAGAAGGCTGTCTTCCTCTCTCCAACATCAGTCCCCTCTCCCATCACAATGGCTACTGAGTAAGTGCTTTATGTGTGCCATCTAATATAATCCTCAACAGAGCCCTAACAGGCTGGCATTTTTATCAGCATTTTAGAGAGAAGGTTTAGGAAGAGGTTAGGAACCTCTATGGCGGAGATGGGATTTGAGGTCTGGAAAATTCCCAGGGTGCAAACTCTTAATCATTGCGGACGTGGTGATTTCAGAGAGCTAATTAAGTGTGAAATCAAAAGCAATAGGTAAACACAATTATGCCACTATTAATTTGAATCTGTTGGATATACACAGTTGTCTTACTCTGTATTAACTATGATATGCTATATGAAAAAGAGATCACAAATTCTGCCAACAGAAACCTCCTAAGATCATTTACTAAAGTAGTAATTCAAGTTTCTTATAGAGAACCTGGCAATACTGAAGCTTAGGTGTGGTCACCTGAGAGATCTGGAGGAAACAGAGACAAAATTTACCAAATTTCCTATTGCACAATAGAATCTGTCTGTGGAAAGCACCCCCTAAACGGAAGTATCTGTCAAAGTAAAAATAAACTGGGTTAACAGAATCTGAGAAGTACAGAATGAGTGGGATTCATATTTCTCTCATTTGCTGTAGTGCATACATACATTTTGTCGTCTGGTATTCATTCATACATGCGTATGTACATACCCATTTAACTTTTCAGCCCAATTTACAAAGCTCTGGCCAGAACTAACATTGTTTTGTAGTAATGAATTAGAGCTCCACTGGGGCTTTAGGCTGCCTACTACCATTGATGGGTCACCTGAAGGCAAACCCTAATGAGAGTTCAGTTTTGCACAAAAAGACATTCTTTATACATGCCCACATGGAGATGGGTCACTCCATCCAGGGTCATGAAAGCCAGATCAACAGATTAATTGAAATGTTTACTGATCAACCTACACTGAGAAATACAATCTTCCCAAAGAGCCAGAGTTGGGTTCTCCATCTTCTTTTTATTGAAGGATTTACTGAACAACTATGAGGCTTAGGATCTATCCACTTTTTCTTGTAGCTCCCACAACAAATCCTTGAAGTACTCTCCAAGTGCCCAGTGGAGTCCAGGATGAGGGGGCCCTGCTGAGGTCATGTGGTTAGAAGCACAGGAAAGCTTCCGGAAAGGCCCAGGTTCCCCATCACAGAGGTCATCGGTTTCACTACCGAGTGATCCAGGGCTTCAGGCTGAGATCATCAAGCTGAAGGACTAAAAGTGTTTAGGTGACACAGATGTCAACTTGTCTGAAACGAGCAGGAATTGTCCTAAAAAGTTCAGCCTAACTTCTTTTGGTGGCTGTCACATAGACCAGCAGCCAGATGTTTGCTTCTGACATTAATATGCTATAAAATGGTAAATTTTAACATTAGCTGTGTGCATTTTTATTTTTTTCTTGCGGGCTATGAGTAGTCATATCATGGATTTGTCTAAGTGTGAATTAACTTCTGGGAATTCTATCTAAGGTAATTTTAGCTATTTTTATGTTGATATGTGATAGTTTCAGTTTCAAATGATATTTTCTGCTAATGTTCCTTGCAATTCAAATTTTGAGGGTGTTCAGTATTTAGTACCTGGGCACTGACTTATTTATATCTACTAAAAATAATGTATAAATACACATGGTACAAGACCACGTGCTATGTCGTGCACTCACTCATGACTAAAAGGCACATTGACAATTTGTAAACTTATTCTAGTTAACTGAGTCAAAGAGTAAATACTATTTTCCCAGTCCTCCTGAAAGATTTAATATAATTATTATACTAAAAATCTATTCCAGACAACTGCAAAAAGTGACTTGTGTGAGAACTTTATGTTAACTAAGTTATAATAAAGACTAAAAAGTAAAAATAAAATGGGCCCTCTGTGTATTTGTTTTAAGTATTAAGAAGTAAATATAATAACATCAGTGTCCAAAGACCAGATCTGAACATTTTGCCCCCTTGCTTTGGAGTTTTGGGCTCAGGCTAGAGAATAACCTTAATAGGGATTGTTCATAGCAATTTTGAACATAACTAATGTAATTGCAGCAGCCTACCATGATTATTTTCTTTTAACAAAAAGTTTCCTACGGAAATGGAGTCAAAAATTTTAAATTTTCAACTGAAATTGAGAGAGTAAATGGTTGCAAAACACTTAGGTAGATATTTACACTAAAGAGTCAAAAGCAAAATTTAAAAACCTACCGAGAGAAAAACACACATGCAGTTTTGGAAAGAATAATGTAGGTAGGCATCATTGATCGTTTTAAAAGGCATGTCTAATGACCCAAAAGTGCTGCCTTTGTTTTAACTGAATTGAGCTTTTTTGGAGAATAATAGAAAGGTGTTTCAGGAATGCAAGAATCACAGTTCAAGAGCGGGCTCCATGTGCTTGAAATTGAAGGGCTGGAGGACCCTATTCAATTGTTTTTTTCTTCTTTACCCAAAGTGGGGAGGGCTAGAGTCCTTTTCTTATTCTCCAGTCTGTTCATCTGCTGGGCAACAGGTTAGATCTACTTTATCTGGACATGTGGTTTTGGGCTCATTACTTATGGGTTTCTAAGTCTCTCTTGCCTGGAACACAGGAGTAATGTCAGTTATTCACATGTTGGCTGTGATAATTAGCCATAATGTAGTCTATTGTAAAGCAGTTAATAACAAAATTTTGTTAACATCTGGCTAAAATTAGGCACTCAAGTGGCAAATATAATGACTGTTTATTAAATATCTATAGAAGACAAATATCATCCTTTCTCCACAGTCAGGTTTTCTGCCTAAAGGAAAATCTTCAGTAATTAGATTATAATAGTGTTTTAAAGTAACAGAACAATAAAATAGCAAGGTAATGGTTTTGACATGAAACTTCATGACTAAAACCTTAAATATTATGGTTCAGTATTAGTGTGTTTTCACAGTACCTACTAAATTTTCAAATTGTATCTACTTGGCCCTTTCAAAAATACTACCACTCTTGAAATTTCTTGTAAGTTACTTTGAGAAGCTATAAATTTTGCAGTGCAAATTTTTTCCTGAATTCACCTTTTTAAAAGTATAAACTTATTCAACAGACAAATATAAATACTCTCAGTAGTTCTAAATGTACACAATTCATGACTTCTTACTGTAATTGAAAATGAATATACAAAGCAATTACTTTGTCATTTACAAAACCCACACTCAACTTCCAAAATAATGATTAACCTGATAGCAGAGACAAGACTTTTATAATTAAATGCTAAAGTCTAGCTACTTGAGATAAGGACAGCAGGTTATATAATTGTCCTCTGTATTCAAAATATCCTTTTTTTCCTTTTGGATATACATCATTTTTCATTAACAACAGAACCTGTAACCAAAAAAGTCCAACCAACCAACCAAACAAAAAACTTGACTGTACTGTAGGAAATCAGGCTAACTCACAAGCTAATTTTTTGGGAGATACTGTTAGTAAACTCTCACTGATTTTGACTTTACTAGGGGAAAAAAAAGAGAAAACATGCCCTTTGTATTATAAGTGAAAATCCCCAGGGAATGTCTTAAAGATTTAAGAAAACAAAATAGTAAGCAAACACAGTCACTCACTTACATATAAATAGTTGCAGTGTTGATTGAAAAGCATCCTAGCCATGCTAGAATGGAGTCTCAAACTTGGATAGTCTTTGTTCTCTCTTCCTGATGGGTGTGCTCAGCAATACAGGCAGTGCTGGAGACATCAGACAGATTGTTCTAGAAAGATGGGCAGCTTATGTGCACATGGATATGTCTACAGGCAGTGGGCACATCACTATTCAACCAGGGACTACACTACTTTTCCCAGGCTGCCTTGCATTCATGGAGAGCCATGTAACAAGTTATCATCAAAAGAATACAAGAGGTAAAGATGTTGCCTAATTTGAGCACTGTTATGATTTGTGTCTAGATGTTCCCCACAATCCTCATGCAGTCATGGTGGTGGTGATGGGATGGGGGTTGGATTTTTTCAGAGGTGGCTGAATCTTAGAGTGTGTGACTGATTCGTGGTATGATACTGGGATTAAGAATGGGGAGTTGCTGAATCAGTCCACTGACTGGATTGGCACCACCCTAGTCTCTGTAGACTGGATACAGGGGCTAGTCTCCACTCTGTCTCGTTCTTTTTGCTGTTGTCTGCTGCAATGAACTGTTGCCCCTCTGCCACTCTACCTCTGAGCCAGCCAATTATGAACTACAGCCTCCACAAACTGTCAGCTAAATAAACGCTTCCCCCTTTAACTTTAGGTGTTGGGTATTTGGTCTAAGTAACAAGAAAAGTAACTAAGACAAGCATTGTCATGATTAAGATACAAGGGCTCCTTTTTCAAGTTCTTTCTTTTCCACTAGCTAGATATAGTTGCAAGCCTCAATTTGTGTTGTGGGATGGATTACATTCCCTAGACTAGGTTCATATACTGAAATATTAAAACACAGTTGAAAATAGGATTGTTAAGACATCGTTAGTTAATATGATGTCATGCTAGAATACAATGAGCCCTTAATTCAATATTAGTGGTGTCAGGAATTAGATCTTACATGTCTACCAAAGTCTCATGTGTTCAAAGCTGGAGAAGATGATTGAATCACAAGGGCTATAACTGCATCAGTCAACTAATTCATTGGTGAGATCATAACTGGATGGCATCATCTGGATGGAGGTAAAGAAAACTCAGCAGGTGGGGCCTGGCTGAAGCAGCAGGAGATGGGGTGTGACTGGGAACCCTATGTGGTCCTTGGCTCTCTCTTCTCTGCCTCTTTCCCTCTTGCTGTATTTCCTGGCTGGCACGAGGTGAGCCACTTTCCTCTGCCATTCTCTTTGATGTGACATTTCTGCATCAGGCCAAGCCAATGGACCGAATCCTCTGAAACGAACAGCAAAAATGAGCCCCCTTTAAGCTGTGTATAAAGTGTTTTGTGCCAACAACTGAAACATGATTAATAACAAAGGATGATTTTCAGAAGGGTAAATCTGGACACAGACAGAAATGGAGGGAAGATAATGTATAGACAATAATGTAAAGACTGCCATCTGTAAGCCAAGGAGAGCGTTCTGGAACAGATTATTCCCTATAAAATAACCAACCATATCCTCATCTTGACCTCAGACTTCTAGTCTTCTGAATTGTGAGACAGTAAATTTCTTTTATTTAAGTTACCCAGATGTGACACTTTGTTACAGAAGCCTGAATAAACTAATAAAGAGGGTAAAACCAGCCAGGGATTTAGCTCAGTGGCATAAGCGCCTGTCTGGCAAGCACAAGGTCTCAAGTTCAATCTCCAGTACAAAAAAAAAAAGGTAAAACCAGAAGATGAATGGAGCCTGACTTCAGGATTCCTAATTCCTTACTAATCAGAAGTATCTACACTGAATTGATCCCCTTGAGAGAGAAAAAAATACATCTATTGTGCCAAATCACCAAATTTTGAGGGCCTTTGATAGCAGCTGGCATTACCTAACACAAGCTTAATTACCATATTTCCTTGAACACAAGACTTTACCAGAAAATAAGCCCTAGCATGATTTTTTCAGGATGGCCCTAATATAAGCACTTCCCCAAAATAAGCCTCAGTTAGGATCATCAGCAGGATGGATATACTTACTACATCTGTTGCAACACCTGATGAACATACTGAATTATAAAATAATAATATATTATATATAACTATAAAATATATTATATAATTAAATATAGTATTATTGCCATTAACACTTTAAAGACTATACAAATTATAATTATTTGTAAATACTCAAGCAGGTGTCTTTGGCTGAGAAATACCTATGTAATCAGATGAATTTGAAACTTACTGGTGAATAAGCAATGCAAGTCCAGACACAACTCACAAAAAAGGTGTGCATTTGATAAAGAATGGACATGAATGTACCTAACATGAGTCGTCATAATTCAATGCATTGTGTGTTGTAACAGACATACTAAATGTGTTTGTGTGAAATAAACGTTTTCTGAATTTTGATGCCTGTGAGTTTTTTTGTCACTTTTGTATGACCATCATTCTTAATTGTCGTCATTTTTGTTGCCATTCCTGTCTTGTAAATCTTCACTTAGCACTTGATTTAATGGAAATTTTGCAAGTGGTTGTGACTTGGGTGATGAATTCATGAGATTAAAATGCAGCCGGCTACATGGACAGAAGTGCTCACTGAAGGAGAGCTAGACATGAGAGATTTGGGACACTGATTCTACAACAGAGTCACAACAGAGTTTGAAGAGTTATGATGTTTCAGAAGATGATATGCCTGTATCTGAGTAAACGTAATTTTTGTACATGAAAATATAACACATCCCCTGAAAATAACTGGC